GTGCAGGCCCCTACCTGAACTCTCTCTTTCAGGTCTGCACTCCCTCTGCTCACTAACTGGACCAACCAGAGCCTCCTGGTCCAACCACAGCAACAGGACCCAGGTTGGTAGCTGGACTCTCCTCCTCTGTGGTTCTGGTGGTGGAACCAGTTACCAAAGTGTTCAACCTGCTGACTCCATCTCAGTCTGTAAGAACAGACTGAAGAGCAGCTCTGCACTCAACACCTGACAGCCTGGAAACAAGCAAACAAAAGCAAATGTTCCTGTCGCCGCCCTACAGCCTGCTGCTGGCATCAGCACCGACCACACTGGACCTGTTCTAGGCTCTGATCCAGGTGGTTCTCTCCTCACCAGATCCTTGCTGGTGTTGGATCTGCTCTCAGACGTACGTCGCTTTGGAAAACAGCATCTGCTGAATGAAACTGTAGAATCTTACAGTCAGGATTACTTTCTGCTCACAGTACTTCTGTACTCTGATTACAGCCAAGTATCTGAGTACTTGTTCTCGGCTGCAGCTGACAGCAGATGCTCCATTCTTCTTCTTCTCGTGGATTTTTGGAAAGAAAACAAGGAACAATATGAAGTTTCAACATTTTAATGTGAACAGCAGGAGTGTGTGTGAGTGTGTGTGTGTGTTATTGATGACTAATCAGATGTATTGATCACTGTGCTCTCCTGGACAGCAGCATCTCTCTGATGTTGTCTTCAGCCTCTTTCACGCTGCGTTCCAGGTACACCTTCTTCTGCTGTAAATCACAAACATGTGACGTCAGCGGACAACAGACACACAATGTGTGTGTGTATGTGCGTGTATGTGCGTGTGTGTGTGTGTGTATGTGTACCTCCAGCTCTCTGATCTTCTCGTCAGCTGTCTTCTGTTTATCCATCAGCTGGTTATTGATCTCCTCCTTTGACTGAAGGATGAACCTGAAACACAGCAGCTGTCAGTCGTGTCACATGGTCTTCCTCAGAGGCGTGGCTTCACCTGTGCAGGTGACCAGACTCACATGCGTCCAACACCCTCGTAGAGTCGCGTGTTGTCGGGCAGCGTGGTGATCTCCGTGTGTGTCAGCTTAGCGTGTTTCTGAACCCGAGTCAGCTGATCGATCTGCAGGTCAGCGAGCTTCACCTTCTGCTGCGTGTCCACCATCTTCACCTGCAGCTCTGTGAACGCCTGCGACAGAGAAAACTGCTGAGAGGCCTGTTGTCTAGAACATCACCAAAACGAAGGTCGTTTATTGGCCACAAACTGTAAACAATGACAGAACCACGGAAGCGTTCAACAGTGAGCTCATCATGTGACCTCCAGCCTGACATCCACACGGACCCCAGCTGAAGTCCTGACACTTCATCACAACCACTGCATGTGGAGAATCATTCGAATAGTCCTTCAGAAATAAACGGTTTGTAGAACCAGAACCTTCCTCAGATCCAACCTACTGGATCAGTGAATACATGCAGCATGGATCAGAACCAGAGAACAGAGGAGCCAGTTGGTGGAGATACATTCAGCTGATGGTGGAACATCTTTCTACATCTGATGGTGGAACATCTTTCTACTGATGGTGGAACATCTTTCTACATCTGATGGTGGAACATCTTTCTACAGCTGATGAGCAGAGAGAAGAAGGCTGGAGACATGGAACATGGAGATAGTTCAACATCTGCAGGACGAGGAGACAACATGAGCTCCAGTGATGGAAACATGTTGGTTCACAGTTTTTACATTTCGGTAAAAAAATTAAATAAGTTGTCTTATTTCTGTCCTGCTGACAGAAGACATCTCTGAGTTCTCTCTCCTTCTTCATGTTCTGGTTGCACAGAGCTGCAGGACTTTAGGTTGAACAGAAACATGAACCTCAGTGAAGGACCAGGAGACAGGAGCTGGTTGAAGTTGTGAGTGTTCATAGGAGGATGTCCAGCAGTCTGGTGTTTCAGGAGATGTTTCAGACTCACTGAGATCATCAGAAACCCGCCTAGACACTCGAGAAGAACAAAGTTCAGAAGTCCACTACGAATCTGTGATTTTAGATTCTGTCAGTATCACAGTGATGTTTGTCGGAAGATCCTGCTCACACACAGTTCTGCTGCTTGAGAAAAAGATCTGGGCTCGAATCGATCATCGTATTGATCAGGTAATCGATAAGAATGAGGAGATTTGGCCTGTTTTCTGTAACTGCTGTGTGTTTACGTTTGTTTCTGATAATTGCTGCTGCTAATCGTGAGTTAGCTCCGGTGTTAGCTGCTGCCGCTGCTGCTAACCGTGAGTTAGCTCCGAGGTTAGCTGCTGCTGCTAATCGTGAGTTAGCTCCGGTGTTAGCTGCTGC